CGGTTTTGTTTGGTTTGCTTTTGAACCGTACACACACAAGCTGATAGAAGCCAGTCCATATGCTATCGCTCCCTGAAATGTGTCCATTCGGCCAGCCTTGTATTTTCAGCTGAAAAACTATGACTGATGCATCTCAACTTCCAAACTTCTCAACCTCCTTCCGTGGGAAAAGCTAAACATCTACATCAGGATGGGGTGAGGACCGGGGAGGAAAAAGTGGGACTGTGCCAGGCAGGTGGGGAAGGGAAGTTCCTTCAGGCCCTTTTTCTGGGACATCAGTGGTTAACCAGCCACAAATGCAAGGAGAGATGGCCGATACAGACAAGATTTTCCCAACAGCTGTAGCAACACAATAAATGAAGTCCATCTGGGAGCAGTTTCTTTGGTAAGACCTATGGTGACCTCTTTCCCTCCCACCCATTCATGTACAGCCATCCTGAACCTGTAGGGCTCTTCCTCCTATGCTCACATCCCCACTGTGATCATACATTCACTGCTTGGGGTGTCTCACCTGGCTATCATTCCTGTATCTTTACTACAGGTAATCCTCGATTTACAACAGTTCATTTAGTGACATTTCGAAGTTATAATGGCACTAAAAAAACTGACTTGGGTCCATTTTCACACTTAGGACCATTGCAGCCATCCCCAGGGTCATATGATCAAAATTCAGATGCTTGGTAACTGGCATGTATTTATGACAGTTGCAGTGTTCTGGGATCATATGATCCCCTGACAAGCAAAATCAATGGGAAGCCAGATTCTTTTAATAACTATAGCAATAGCAATAGCGCTTAGACTTCTATACCGCTTCATAGTGCTTTACAGCCCTCTCTAAGTGGTTTACATGGTCAGTCTTTTGCCCCAACAATATGAGCCCTCATTTTACTGATCTTGGGAGGATGGAAGGCTGAGTCAACCTTGAAGTGCTGACTGTCAGCAGAAGTAGCCTGCAATATTGCATTCTAATCATTGTGCCACCACAGTTCTAACTATGTTACCAACTTAACAACAGAAAAGTCATAAAATGGGGCAAAACTCACTTAACAAATGTCTCATTTACCAATAGAAGTTTTGAGCTCAGTTGTGGTCATAAATTGAGGATTACCTGTACCCAGCTAAGGTCTTTCATAGAACCCTTAGTTAAATCTGGGTTTCTCTGGGGTTTCAAAACTGCACATTGAACTCATTCTGTTCCTAAATTTTAAGCCATAGTATTTGTCCTTAACTGTTATTATAACACAAAGCAATAAGATGGGGAAGTGAAAATTAATGCTCTCAAAAAAATAAAGAAAAGGAAAAAGCGAAAGAACGAATGAAAACAGATAGGGCAGCCAGAATGTGCTTTGAAAGCCTCCAATTCTCTGCTCAACCTGATTGAATTAAACTAAATTAAATCTGCATGTTCAATTTGTTTCTTTGCTGAGTTTTATGCTGCTGGCTTTAATGGTTGTTTATTAGTTCTATTGTTAGTACTGACAAAGAGGGAGGAAGGAAGGAAGGAAGGAAGGAAGGAAGGAAGGAAGGAAGGAAGGAAGGAAGGAAGGAAAAAAGACAGGGCATAACCTGAAATCTTTCAATTTTCTGCTCTGGTTAGGAGTGATTATTTAAAAAAACACAACTAAATTGCCGGGGGGAGAAAATGATTCCTAATTTCCACTGTCTGTCTCACTAATTAAGGTCACATGTTGCATACAGTAAAATAAAATGAATCTAAGTGTCTTTATGCATAATTACAGTACTGAAGCATGACATAAATACTTTGTGGAACAAAAATAAGGGGAAAAAATGAGGGCAGACTGATGGAACATTTTTGTTGATTTATGGATGTTGGTGCTTACTTTTAGGAATTTGTCTTCCATTTTGTCTTTAATTTTTTTTAATGTTGGTTCATTAGTAACCTATCCAGAGAACTTTATATAGTAAGACAACTAGGAAAGGTGCAAATGCATCAATGAACAGACAAAAATCACGATTTTCTCCAACAGTCTTATTCCCTCCAACAAAGGAGAAAAGGCTAGCTGGGAAGGGCATATGCCAAACGACCAGGTCGTCCATCTGTCCTTCCCCTTGGAGATGCTTCCACTGGACTGACGAGTCTTTTGAATCCCCTTGCAGTTTGCCATTCAATTTGGTTTTTTAAAAATTATTTTTATTGAACATATTTCATCATTTTACATCACATTTACAATCTTTACAGTGCTCCAGCATCGATAATACTCATACAGTACATACATAATGTTAGGATATGGTTTGAGCCTAACAAGTTGTCCAGGCAATATATGTGTTCTGTGACTTTAATATGAATATGTATTGTGTGACTTTAAAGTTTTACTGCTAATTCATTGTAATGCTGAGTCATGCTGTAATTAGATAATCACTAGTTGTATTTAAGAAAGGTACTGTAACGTATTCAGTTGATGATATGCTACCATCGTGTGAGGAGTTGCTATCATTGTGCTATCATCGTTGGATGGATCTGCTACCATCGTGGTTTGTGAATCAGAGTGAGTTTGTTATTCTAACCAACTACTGTTTGTGTGGTAAGAAGAGTTTTTGTATCACTGGACTGATTTAACTGGCAAAGACTTGGATTGATTTAAAAGACTATGAGATTGTACTATAAAGTAGACTTTTGATAAACCAGTTTGAACATCTCTTATTCATTGCTCTCAGCAACGTTTCTCTGTGCTCTACACTCTGCTGGTTGGTAACACAACAATATCCTTAACACATAACATTCCTTATTCTTCCTTTAACTATATACATTGTCTTTAAATTTTAGTATACCTCTCAAATTACCTTATATTTAATCTTTACTTCTATTCTCTAGCCCCGTGATGGTGAACCTATAGAATGTGTGCCACAGGTGGCATGCGGAGCCATATCGGTGGGCACGCGAGCATTGCCCTACTCAGCTGCAGCACGCATGTGTGTGTCGGCCAGCTGATTTTTGGGCCTTCTGGGCCCGCTGGAAGTCGGGAAACAGGCTGTTTCCGGCCTCCAGAGGGCCTCGGGGGGTGGGTGGGTGAGGAAGGCCCGTTTTTTGCTCTCTCCAGGTTCCAGTGACTTTCTAGGAGCCTGGGGAGAGTGAAAACGGCCTTCCCCAGCACCCCCGAAGGCCAGAAATGGTCCAGGGCACATTGAATTATGGGTGTGGGCACACGCACGTGCACGCGAGCCCCCCACATTCCCTCCGCTTTTGGCACACGATGGCAAAAAGGTTAGTCATCACTGCTCTAGCCATTTGTACCTTATGTCCCAGACCAAATAATATTCCATTTCCCCCTCTTTCTTTTAATTCCAATATTAGCCTGTCCATTTTAGCACAATCTAACACCTTTTTGGTCACCATTCTCTCGGAGGGCATATTGTCCTGTTTCCAGTTTTGCGCATAAGCAATTCTGGTCGCAGTTGTTATATGTGATATAATATATTGAGTATTCTTATGGTAGTTTCCTCTTATTATCCCTAGTAAAAATAATTCTGGTTTTAATTCAATTCGTTGATTCATAATTTATTCTAACCATTTTCTTATTCTGATCCAGTACTTCCTGGCTTCTGGACACGACCACCACATATGGAAGAATGTGCCTTGATTGTGTTTGCATTTCCAGCATTCCGCAGATAAATTTGGAAACATTTTGGCCAATCTAGCTGGAGGTAAATGCCAATGATAGAATATTTTGTATAAATTTTCTTTGTAGGCTGCCAACATAGTTAATTTATAGTTTTTCCCCATAATTTTTCCCAATATTCTAATTCAATATTATAACCGAAATTCTTTGCCCAGGCTATCATAGTTTCTTTGACAGTTTCTTCTTCCATTTTAAATCTCAGGAAATACTTATATACTTTGGTTATCATTTTTTCCTCCGTCCCCTGTATTATTTTATCAAGCTCTTGTTGATCCTTATAGAAGCTATATTGTTCTAAATCCTTTTTATATCTTGCCTGAATTTGCAGGTATGGCCATCAATCTATATCTATCCCTTTTTGTTTTAACTCTTGGTTTGTTTTTAACTTCTCTTGCAGTTTGCCATTCAAGTTGATGTGTCATCAAGTCACTGTCATCTTCTATTGACCTCATCAACATATTTTCTCCATTCCAATTTATGCCTAACCTGGTCCCTCAGGTCTTCCAAAAGTGCATTCACTTCCATCCACCTTGTGCTTGTTTTCCCCTTCTTTTCTTCCACTTTTCCTAGCATGACAGTCATTTCAAGAGACCTAAGTCTTCACATAATGCATCCAAAGGGGGATCATTTGAGCCTGCTCATTTATGCTTCGAGTGAGAACTCTGGGTTGCTTTGTTTGATGATCCATGGTTTGTTTTCCTGGCTGACCATGACATTGATAGGAGTCTTCTCCTGCACCAAAGGTCAAAGATGCCAATACTCTTCTTCTCATACTGCTTCTTCAAAGTCAAACTCTTGCTCCCATGGAAATCCATGGCTTGCATGATTCTGATCTTTGTAGTTGTAGGGACCTCCAGGGATTGGAATACCTTTTTCAAAATCTTCCAAGTGCTGGTCTTTGTTGTTGTTGTTTAAGATAAAGCAACAAGTCAAGCATTTGCAAGTATGTGTATGCCTAACCAATTCATTCTTGACCAGAAAAGAAGAAATAACAGATCCTAACGTTGATGTGGTTGTGTTTGCTGCAGCCCCAATCACCTGCTATGTTGTGGCTATTTGGAGTCCACTGTCTCTTGGAGTCTCAATGTTCATTCTATGGTCCATACCTAGCTGCATTACTGACTGGGTAATGGTCCTTGCTCTCCTTCAACCAGTAGCAAAAGATTATCCTCTTAGAGCAGAACAGAAGAGCTGCCCTACCAGCTTCATATGATCACCTTCACAGTGGCATTTTTGCTGGACTACCCAACAACAACCTCAGTCAAGGACCACAAAAGCAAGCATTCAAACCCAGAGTCATACTTGGGCCAAAAGCCATACTAAGAGATACCCGTAAGTCCCGGGGAATCCAAAAAGACTTACCGGAACTCCATAAATTCCAGGGAATCCAGGAACACCCACTGGGCCCTAAAAAGATAAAAAGGAATACAGTTAAGTGTCAGTCTATTCTTTACAGCTCTAAGTCCAGTTCATAAGGCATCTTAGCCTAGAACATTAGATATAAAATCAAGAATGGACTTGCTATAGACAAACTTTTTGCATTATTTTACCGTATTTTCCGGCGTATAAGACGACTTTTTAACACATGAAAATCTTCTCAAAAGTCGGGGGTCGTCTTATACGCCGGGTGTAGTTCTCCTGTAACCAGGCAGACCAGCCCGAAAGGCTCTGACGAGCCTTAAATGGCTCTGGCGATCCCAGCTCTGACGATCCCAGCTGAGTTCCCTGCAACTCAGCTGGGATCGCCAGAAACCACGTAAAAGGAAAAAAGTTTTTTCCCTTTTACTCTGAGGATCCCAGCTCTGACGATCCCAGCTGAGTTCCCTGCAACTCAGCTGGGATCGCTAGAAACCACGTAAAAGGAAAAAAGTTTTTTACCTTTTACTCTGAGGATCCCAGCTCTGAGGATCCCAGCTGAGTTCCCTGCAACTCAGCTGGGATCGCCAGAACCATGGCTCTGACGGTCCCAGTTCTGACGGTCGATCCCATCCCAGCTGAGTTCCCTGCAACTCAGCTGGGATGGCCAGAGCCATGTAAAAGGGAAAAAGTTTTCCCCCTCCAGCTTGCTTACCTCAGCTGCTAGTCGCAACGCTTGCCTTGCTTTGCTTGCCTGAATCTATTCAGGCAAGCAAGCAACTCCCTGCCTGCAATCAAGCAAGGAGTTAGTTGTGGACTTCAACTCCCAGAATTCCTCAGCCAGCAAAGCAAAGCTGGCTGAGGAATTCTGGGAGTTGAAGTCTACAAGTCTTAAAGTTGCCAAGGTTGGAGACCCCTGTTTTATTGGGTAAGTTTTTTTCCCCTTTGGGAGCTTTAAAAAAAATAGTCAATTGGGGTTTTTTTAGTTGTTCTTTTTTAGACCTAGCCATTTAAAGTTTAGGAAGTTTTAAATTTAGCTTTCATATAAAAATAAAAATAAAATAAAATAAAACAATATTTGGGCAGCTTTCTGAGATTTAGTGTGTTTCTGTAGTGTTTCACTCCAACTACACAAACACACAAAATCTCACAAAGCTGTATGTGGAATTTTGTGTGTGTAAAGTGTGAAAGTTGGTTTTTTGGACTTTTTATGGCTGTGTGAGGTTCCTGCTTGTTGCAGGGGCCATTTTGGGTCTAGCACAGCTGCTTTTACATTGTGGGTGAGCCAGTTGTGTTGTGTTGTGTGTGTTTAGAGTGTGAAAGTTTTTTGGGGGGGCTTTTTGTGGCTGTGTGAGGTTCCTGCTTGTTACAGGGACCATTTTGGGTCTAGCACAGCTGCTTTTACATTGTAGGTGAGCCAGTTGATGTTTTTTAATTTTTATTTGGTGTGCGTTGGAAGAGGGGCAGTCTTATATGGCGAGTATAGCCCAAACCCTATATTTTAACAGGAAAAGTTGGGGGTCATCTTAAACGCCCAGTCGTCTTATACGCCGGAAAATACGGTAGTTGCATTTTGGTGCTCAGTCATGACTAACTCTTTAGGCAGATGCTTTCTGAGAGTCCCTGGATGGTGGGTGGGCTACAGATATGTCAAATGAAGTAGTAAAAGAAAGTCTGCGAACTCTTTAAAACAATCCATAATACAGCAGTACTGTAAACTACAGTGAGACCAATGCTTCAGCTAAGTCCTATTAATAAAGAGATTCTGGTTAAACAAACACAGAGAACAGTTTTCCTTTCCTTATGAGTCACACTATCAGCTAAAATAGCTTTCCAATTGTGGCAAAGGTTCACACTTGTACACACAATGCTGGGAGGTCATAAGTGTAACTATGCTGAACCCCTAAGAGACCACAGCACATTGACACTTCTACTGGCAGGTTCTGGTGGACAGTCTGGAATGGCACATGTTTTTCACAGCTGTAAAAAAATAACCTATAGTGAAATACACACACTAAAATAGTCTGTGTGTAGACAGATAGATGATGATATAGATAGTTAGATAGATGATAGATAGATAGATAGATAGATAGATAGATAGATAGATAGATAGATAGATAGTCATTCCATGTCAAGTGATCTGATTTCAGAAAAGTGCCCTGCTTGACCATTGGCCATCTTGTACAACTTTTTGTGCTCTATTAAACAAAATAATAAAAACATCCTCATCAGCAATCTCCATCTAGATAATTTGGAGCAAAGTTGGCCAAAAATAGTGCGACTCGAAAAAAAGGTTGAAGTTTGGCTTTTTATATCTCTGGAAGGAAAGGTATGATAAACCTGAAACTTTGTGCGTAATAACTTAGCAACACAAGGTTTTTGAATATAAAAATTCATTCTCCTACTGCTTTCCAATAGTTTACAACTTGAGTGTAAAGTTGATTTTTTTTGTAAAAACACCCAAAACAGGATATTTTCTGCCCACTTTTACAAAAAAAAGACCTTCTGGAAATTCTGTTATATCATTCTTATTAGAAAGAGCATGCTTCAAACCCCCTAAAAAAGTAGGATTGGTTTTTCAAGATGGCCAAGTTTTGTTTCTCTCAACAAAATATTGTTGGAGATATTATGTCTCAAAGTTGCTGGAACCTCAGAGTCATACTGTAGAAAGCTGCAGTATGGGGTCACCCAAATGCCTATATTTCCGCAAGTATTGCATTGGCATACATAACACTTTGCCAATGTTCACTGGGGACATGTGTGCATGTTCACACAAAATTTCATCGTAATCTATGATGGTCGAGCAGGAACCCTCAGACCACTTGATATGGAATGACCCGATAGATAGATAGGATTATTCGTGAACTTCCAGTAATTTCATAAATGACATCGCAAAGTTTAAGATTGCCACTACAGCAGAAGGAAAGAAGAGGGCTGACTTTGAAGATGTATGAGAACCCCTAAAACATGAATGAACTTACCTTGTCTCCTTTCATTCCAGCTGCACCTGGAGGTCCTGTTACACCCCTCTCTCCTTTCAGTCCTCTCACTCCCTCTGGTCCAGTAAAGCCTTCAATGCCCATTGATCCTTGGTTCCCGATTGGTCCTGGTTGACCCTACAGAAGAAGGAAATAATGTTTTATTTTGTTCCTCAATAATCTTTTCGCAGTCCTGCTCTTAAGGTAAATATCAGAAAACTACTGAGGTCCTCAACTGAAGTCCTTTCACTCCCTCTGGTCCAGTAAACCAGAGATGTTCTCTCCACAACCATGGGGATGTTCTACCTCAAGAAGAAGAGGAAAGAAGGTGGCATCAATACGGTCAGAGCTACAGAAAACATAAGAGCCATTAAAAGCCTTTGAAGAATATCTACCAAATCTGTGAGCAGAGAAATTGGGAAGCTGATTTCTCAGAATTTCTCAAGATGTAAAGAGTGTAAGAAAGATGGTCTTGACAGAAATATGTATGATCTGTTGCCAGGATGACAAGAGATAAAACAGATTTTAAACCACAACAGACAGATAATATTCAGAAGTGGCTCAGACAGACACCTCCTAATTCACTGAACTACAAGGAGAAGCAGCCTTCAAAACTTGGCGTCTATCCCAGACCTTGGGGTAGGGTGGATGAAACTCCCTTGGTTATAATTTTCAATGTTTTGATACGTTGCTTGGATTGCAATTTCTTTAATTATTTTCTGAGAGCCAGTTTGGTATAGTGGTTAAAGCCTCCAGGCTACCAATTGGAAGACAATGAGTCTTAGCCTTGCCTTAGGGATGAAGCCAGATGGGTGACCTTAGGCCAGTTACTCTCTCTTAGCCCGTTATGAAAACAAGGGCAAACCACTTTCAAAATCGTTATCAAAAAAACCCCTGAAGAAACTAGTTGAGGCAACTGCCAGAAAGCAACACTCAAAGTCATGTTTGCACACACACAACACATTTATGTAGCTATTTTTGTAATTTGATCCAGTTTACTATATTACATTTTATTCTTTTTATGTTGCTCTTCATTTCTGGTGAGATGCCCAGAGTTGGTTGGCATCAAAACTGAATATGTAAATAAATATAATGTTCTCTGGGGTCTCAGAGAACAAAGCTAACATGCCAAACTTTTCAAATTTTGAGAAGATAGACGTCAGGTGAACTCTTCAATTCAACTTAAGAAGAAGAAAGATTCCAGCTAAACTTTAAGAATGAATCACCAGTTTGAAAACTGTCCAATAATCCTCTTCTTTGTAGGTCTTCCAACTTAGATTGCTACAGAAAAAGCATATCATGATCTATCAACTAACTTCTTTAAGTGACCAGACACAAAAGAGGACCTCCAATGATACTGGCAGATTCTAAAAATAGAAATTGATATTTGTTCTGCCACATCTTGGGACCATCAACTGGTTCATTAATTTTTTTGGAAGACAAACTCAAAACTTTAGAGCTGAGATAGCCAGCAAAAATCGACAGTTGTTCTTTGAAAGGGCTTGCTTGCGTCAACATTTATGAATTATATAATCAAAACAAAGACTCAAGCAGCATGAAGAAAAGAGGCCCCCAATCCTCTGAATGAGTTAAATTCATTCTTTTCGGCTGTAATAACACTGTAAAACAATTTGGAACACCAGCTTTTATTTAAACAAAAGACCAAAAGAAAAAAAAGTAGCATAGCTGCAACATATGGATCACATAGAGTTCTAAACTCCATGGAGAACATGTAAGTTCTCCCCGCATTAGATCTTGTTCCATGCTGGCAGAACAGCATGAAAAGAAGAAACTAAAACAAAGGAATCAGCTTCTTTCTTCTTTTTTTTTTTTTTAAAAAAAAATCAGAAACCAGGAGCTACTAGAATAACTGTGATGACACAACATCTCCGGAAGGACAGGGATGAAACATTTGAGCTGGATTATTTCGTGTATAGAAGGTGATTTCATACACTTATTATGTTTCTTTCTGGAAGGAGGAGGAGGAGAAGGGGGATGAGAGGATAGGAGATGGAAATGGAGGAAAAGGAGGAGGAGGGAGGGAGGAGAGAGGAAGAGGAGAAAGGGGAAACATTGTGCCATGAAATATTGTTGGTGTGATAGAAAGCTCGCCAGTTGCGTCCCTTTCTGGATCGGGACTCGTTAAATACGGTCACTCATGCCCTCGTCACTTCCTGCCTGGACTACTGCAATGCTCTCTACATGGGGCTCCCCTTGAGGAGCACCCAGAGGCTCCAGCTGGTCCAGAATGCAGCCACGCGGGTGGTTATGGGAGCGACGTGGCGCTCCCATGTGACCCCCCCTCCTGCGCGAGCTGCACTGGCTCCCGGTGGTCTTCTGGGTACGCTTCAAGGTTTTGGTTACCACCTTTAGAGCGCTCCATGGCTTAGGACCAGGATACTTACGAGACCGCCTTCTGCCACCAGTAGCCTCTCACCGACCAGTATGCTCCCATAGAGAGGGGCTCCTCAGGGTGCCGTCGACCAAACAGTGTCAACTGGCGGCCCCCAGGGGGAGAGCCTTCTCTGTGGGGGCATCCGCCATCTGGAACGAGCTCCCCCCAGAGATACGGAGGATCCCGGATCTGCGCGCTTTCTGCCATGCCATTAAAACATTTCTATTCCAGCAGGCCGGCCTGGCCTAACCTCTCTTTTAAATTGTTTTTAAAAATTTTTTAAATTTTTAAATTTTAAATTTGTCTTATGAATTTCGGGTGTTTTAAATTTGTTTTCCAGGCCAATTATTTAATTGTATTTTAATGGTTTTTTAACATTTGTATTATATGTATTTTATTTGGCTGTTCACCACCCTGAGTCCTTCGGGAGTAGGGTGGTATACAAATTCAATAAATAATAATAATAATAATGTAATAATAATAATAATAATTTGTTTACAGGTGACAGGTTTATGATTTGGTTATGGGTTTTATATTGTGTTTTTTATTTTACTATTGCGATAGCCCACCCCAAAACTGTTTGGGATGGGCGAGCTATAAATAGTGAAAAATAAATAAATATTTCAAAATAAATGTTGTGATGTCCTAAGAAACAAAGCAGATTCTGGCTTAAAATAACAGCCTCTTATTCAATCTACAAACCAATCCCACTTACCCTGGTCTCACCCAAAGCAGGGCTGCTTGGACAACATTATGGAAGGCTAATCTTGGCCCAGAGTCTGGAGAACCCCTTAAATCCCTTGGTTTCCATTTATTCTCACATAGCTGTGTCTGTCCAGCTTCATTTCTTAACTTGGAGCTGATATGACAGTAAAGTCTTTCCAAAGTGAATTGAGCTCCTAGGATGATTTGATGCCCCTCAAAAACACGAGAGACCCAAATCTTTTCAAGCTGGATTTGTGGTTCAAGGACACACACCAACCCAATACATTTGTTGTGAGGGTTCTACCGATAAGGAAGTATTTTGCACACTTACAGAACAATCTGTTAACACCTCTATTTAGCCCTACTCCAATATGATCACTTCTCTGATAAAAGGCCAGATACCTTCTGTGCAAATCCAGATGCTCTACTACAGAACTACAACTCTATCCATCTGACTTTAATGCCATAAAGTGATATATAATCCCAAAAGGACTTGCAGAAAAATGTGCCAGCTGATTCTTAGTTGACCCAAGCTTCATCCCAAAGCTTCATACCAGAGCTTTGGTAGCTCTGTGGATATACAGTATATTATGTCTATGTGCCAGCAGTCTCACCTACGATTAGACAAAACGAAGCACTGGACACTAGATTTTCTGAAATATTTTTATTTATTTCATGTATTACTGTTACCCTTTTATACTCAATGAAGGTGTGTAGGAGATTGATGGCAGATTTTTATTACCATAACTTGGAAAAAGAAGCAAGTCAGATTCAGTTGGGATTAAGAGTATGAACAACGCAAAGGCAAAAATCCATATTAGAAAAACATGCAAGAGAGGATGACTAGAGAACAGAAAGAACCTCTGAAATTTCATTCCCTTCTCAAGTGGAGACCAACTTTGCATGTTTGCAGCTTTGCATCTTGGAACTCCATTTTCTGCTTCTCCGAGATGATTGAGAAACAGAACAGAATAACAGAGTTGGAAGGGATCTTGGAGTTCTTCTAGTCCAACTCCCTGCTCAAGCAGGAGACCCTCTACCCATTCCAGACAAGTGGCTGTCCAGTCTGTTCTTAAAAGCCTTCAGTGATGGAGCACCCATAACTTCTGAAGGCAAGCTGTTCCACTAGTTAATTGTTCTCACTGTCAGGAAATTTCTCCTTAGTTCTAGGTTGCTTCTCTCCTTGATTAGTTTCCATCCTTGTTTCTTGTCTTGATTTCTGCTCTTTTTTGTGACAGTCCCTTGAATATCTTATCTTCCCTAGACCTTCTTTTCATTCAACTAGACAAACCCAATTCCTGCAATCATTCTTTACAGGTTTTAGCCTCCAGCCCCCTAATCATCTTGGTTGCTCTTCTCTGCACTCTTTCCAGAGCCAAACCATCTTTTTTTGTATTGTGGTGACCAAAACTGGATGCAGTATTCCAAGAGTGGTCTTACCAAGGCATTATAAAGCAGTACTAACACTTCATATGATCTTGATTCTATGTCTTCTGTTAATGCAGCCTAAGAGGGTGAATGAAATCCAGCCAATTACCCTTGCTAAAACTGATCACCCCGAGTGGGTCAGAACGATGGTGCAAGCACCAAGATCTTCTCCAGGGCTGCTTCCTCCCCCCCTGCCTTGGCTTGCAAGGTCTTGTGCCACCAGGGAGGATCAAACCCAAATTGTTTAAACATCAGAGGCAGTGAAGATAGCTCTAGGCCAGCCGGAATGCAGATAACTTGCAATTATACCAGATCCTATCCACGGATTTGTCAGATTAGCAAAGGCTGAGAAGTGCTCGTTACCTTCTCCTTAATTGAGAACAAAAATGAGGCTTTGGAACGAATGGAATTAGAGAAATGCAAAGAATCCACCCTTTGTTTTAAGAAGCAGGAACGATAAGGCATGGGTTTTGGAAACAGGGAGCAAACTGCAATCAGCCTCAGTAGCAACACAGCTTAAATTCCAGCCTTGGGAAATGTAATTGTATGCAGATGAATCTTCTTCCATAGCTAGTAATAGCCTCTGTTAATAGCTGTGGTTCTCATCACC